CAAAAAAACTATCAGTGCCGATTAATCGGCAAAACCGATACATCGGTCGACCTCTAGTACCGGTGCCATATTGGTACCGGGTTTCGGTACCCAACTCTAATCATATGGTATATATATATATATATATATATATATATAAAATGCATAAAAATATTATAAATAATATAAATTTTTTTAACTTGTATGTTTTGTTCATGGACACACTGCATAACCGTCAAGGCCAAACCAATGGCAGTAGGGGATTACAGTGTTCTCCAGATGTATTGTTTGTGTATTTTCATATGAAAAGGGTTATGGGAATGCCAGTGAAGGGAATGCTGTTGGAGATATGACTCATGCAGGAAAGTGGCTTGTAATCCTTTTTAGGGCGCCCTCCTGTAAAGAATAAAAAAGGGCATATTTGGCTGTGCTTTTCATTCAGTCTCTTGTTTTGAAAGAACATATGTAGCCATAAGGAATTGTGTTTCATGCCCCTTAGAAAGTTATGCAGCATTGCCAGTGTGCAGGGTTTGGCGGGAACATTGTGCTGTAAGGTGGAGTGGTTTGGTGGTTACTAATATTGGCTGGTAACCAAAAGGTGTTTGGTTCAAACCAGCTGCCAGGGGTGATTCATGAACTGTCACAGTTTGTGAGCACAGCAAGCCTGCCAAATTCACGTAATTACTACAGTTTGTTGTTACTACTATAAAAGCGTCTAGAGTTTTTATATTTATATGGGATCTCCTTCCAACAGGGTAAGATACTGTCTAGGGATGCACCGAAATAACAATTCTGGGCCAAAACCTAAAATGCTTTGTATTAATTATTTATTGTTTTATTAAATAATATAAATTAATTGTGTAAGACTTTTTCCATTCATTCCAACTTAATAATTTGAATGATACTGAATTTAAAAAACACAAGGCAATAAAATAACTACACTTTTATTGAAAGTAACACAATGTAATTGGAAAGAAAATATATTAATATTAAATAGCAATATATTATTTTTATTCAGTTTTATGCAACTGAATAAGATATAACTCTTTTTTTTTTTTCTCTCTTTTGACTAATTATCCAATTAATGCATAGTCCTACAAAGCTATGATTATCAGAGCATGTGAGCAGAGCATAGTGGGGAGCAGATCAGTGAACGAGAGGGTAGCGTCATTTTACCAGCGTTGCCCACCATGTTACAGCACAGTAGCCCTATTGCAAACAGGAGCAAGTATGCTACATATAAACGTCCTGTCGGCATGTTATTTGAGCGGACTTTGCTTAACAGTATATTTAAAATAACTATTTTAATATAAATTAAAGTGTCATTTATTCCTGTGATGGTAAAGCTGAATTTTCAGCAGCCAGTCTTCAGTTATCAATTAATCCTTCAGAAATCAATATGCTCATTTAGTGCTCTAGTGCTTTTTAAATTATCATCAATGTTGAAAACAGTTGTGCTACTTAATATTTTTATGAAAACCGTGGTAATTTTTTCCATGAATATTTGATAGGAAGTTAAAAAAAACATAATTAATTTGAAACAGAAAACTTTTGTAAGATTATAAATGTCTTTGCTGTCAATTTAAAACAATTTAATAAAAGTAAATCTTACCAACCCCAAACTTTTGAATGGTAGTATATATAAATAGGAGAAATCGTTATGCTAGTCATCACTTTTTTGTTGGGTTCAACACAGTGCTCAAAATAGCAGCTGTAGGAATGGAAAGTCCCACCTTTTAGTTAAAAGAGGCAATCACCTGTTTGTTTACTCCAGAACATACATGTGCATTAGCTGGCCAACCTGGCTGAAAATGACTTATGTTTGGCAGATTTAGAGCTAAAGAAACACAATTTATTATACCATTGTTATTCAAGCTATATTTCAGATTTGAAATGTTATAGAAACATAATTTTGACCAGATTTCGATTTTTCACCATTCAAGTAGACAGAGCTGCACTTGCATGACTGTAAATAGTTGGCCAAGGGTGATACCAGTGAACAGACTTGCCTTAAAGGTACTTTGGATTTGCCAGTTGAGCTCCAGAGACACTTTGGATAAAAGAATCTGCTTTAAGTGTATAAGAGGAATGTGTGGTAAAGGCTTGTCTTTTCTAAATTCACAGCTGTTTTGGAATTTAGCAAATGTGGTCCCTATGTTTTTGCATTAGGTCAGCCTTAACCTAATGACCCAGCAAGAGCAGGATGAGTTCAGGGAAAGTTTGGCGGAAGCCCTGTCCTGGATGCAGGCCGTCCAGGAGAAACTTAAACAAAATGATAACACCCAAGGACCCAGATCAGCGCTGGAGGTCAGACTCCGAGAGACAGAGGTGAGACCTTCCCTGACCTTTGACCTATTGAGGGTGTAGTGGTACTGAAATAGAACCATCTTAGTTTCTCAAATGCATCTCATATTTGCTAAAAAATCATAAGAGTTTCATAAGAGACGCTGTAAAAAAATTCTGTAGTTTTTACAAAATAATTTTGGCAGCTGTTACTGTATAAAACTAATTTACAAACAAGAAAATTGGAATGTAAACCAGTAAAATCAACAAATCACATTGCCACTAAAATCTGTTTTGTACCTTTAACATATACTGACAAGTGACAACCACCATAATAATGCAGGTGGTAAAAGAGAAAGCCACATAAAGAATCAAATTTCATCACAAGTAGCTTTTTCACAAGCTGAGGTATACTAATATACAGAAGGTGCACAGAGTCATTCATGCAAATACAAAACACCATTATGGTAACACACGACTCCTAAATAATGCAATAAACATTCATTAAACAACAGAAAATGTAACAAAACCCTAATGTACTGATAACTAAAACTATTAAGAAATGTGATTATTTAAACAAAATACTTTCAAATGTGGAATGTCACGCAGGGAATTCTGGGAATATCAGTTTACAGTTAAGACTGTAAATTATACATTGATTTGTTATTTTTTACTTCTAAAAACTGTACAATTAACCGCATTTTACAGTTTTTCTTTGTATATAGTACGTGAACTTACTGTTATTAACAGGTTTTTTTTCTGTAGCATTTTTACAATATTTTACAGTTAAAATTACACTTGTTTTTTTTTTTGTTTTTTTTTACAGTGGATATCTCATCAATTTAAAGTAGGGCTGTGCAAAAAATCAAATGCGATTTTCATGCTCATCTCGTCAGTAAAGCCGGTTCTGTGATTAGTAGTAAATCTCCAGCACATGCTTTCAGATGGAGCGGCATTTACTACACAGAGCCGTAATTCACTGACAAACCACGCAAAATCGCAGGCGATTCATTGCACAGCCCTAATTTAAAGTCTTAATTTAAATTTTCCATTAAGCAAGATTTTTTTCTATGTTGTAAAGAAAATTCATAGCTCAGAGCCCGAAGGCCATGTGAAGATGGACAGGGTGTTGGTGGCTTCTGAAGCTCTGCTTCGAAATGGAGATGAAGAGATGAAGAATCAGACTCTTTCGAAACTCAAAGATATAAAAGCACTCTGGGAGGAGACGTTAACCTACATCATTCATTGTCACAGGTACAGGCTTTGTCCATACGTATAAAGTTGTATTACTATATTAAAAGCATTTGCGTATAATGACATTTGCGTTATCACTGTAGCGCTATATTACTACAACCATTGCGGGGAATTGACAATAATTTTGGATCATTTACCTTTGTCTGTCTGTCTATCTATCTATCTATCTATCTATGAAAATCTTTGCCTAGGACAGTTATATTTTATTTATATTAATTGATTAAGCCATCATTATACAAAAATATTTGACCACAAAATGCAATGATTGACCAATCAGAATCAGACCGAACCATGGAAATGCTTTGTATTCTTATATCTGAAAATTTATTTATTTATTTGATTATTTTCGTGCCCCTCTGACAGTCGTATCGAGTGGGTGTGGCTGCACTGGAGTGAATACTTGAAGGCCCATGAGGAGTTTGGGATGTGGATAGAGAAGATGCACAGGGCTCTGGAGCCCCTGCTTGAGATGCAGCTGGGTCTCAAAGAGAAGCTGTGGCAGGTGGATCATCTGCGGGTCCTTCACAGTGACATTCAATCCCAGGCTCAGTTTCTGAAGAGGCTCCTGGATGAGGCTGCAGCCCTGTTCAACCGCACTGAAGATCCTAGTGTAGATGAGAAGGCTCAGCAGGGTCTTAAAGATGCTTACAACCACATTCAAGAACAAGCACAGGTAAAACTTGAGTTTTCTTTTCTTATCATTGACAACCACACAGCCAGAATAAATGTGTGTGTTGAGTCATTTCAGAATGCTTTAGTTTTGAGGGTATTAAGGTAATGCCTTTGTTCTACACTAAAATGCTGAATTTAAAGAATTTGAAAACCTTTCAAGCTGTATTGTATTGTTAATGTTTTATAAGGTTGTTCAGCATGTTAAATAAGTCAAAACAGTCTTTTAATCTTCTATCTTCTCATTTTTTTTGCACTTACTCATGAAAGTCATTCAAAAAAATCTAGTCTCAATAGGTTACCGTTGTTCTTCAGTTCTCCGCTGCTGTCACTGACAGGTTGTAGCTTGTGTTACTCTTTCATAGTTATTATGAAAGAATGAACTATTAGGGGCCTCTAGATATTAGTGAAAATTACACTACCTTTCAAAAGTTTTGGGTAAGCAAAAATTTTCTATTGTTTTTTGAAAGTCTCTTATGCATTTATTTGATAAAAAATACAGTAAAACAATTATATAGTGAAATATTATTACAATTTAAAATAACCGTTTGCTATTTTAATACTAAACATCATTTATTTGAAATAGAAACGTTGTAACATTGTTTTACTGTCACTTGTCCAATTTAATGCATCCTTGCTGAATGGTAGTGTATAATTTGTTATTTAACCTATATTATTATTCTTAATGCATAATTAATTTATTGCTGTTATCTGCAGAATGAATTAAGATCATCAAATTGAAAATAGTACTATGTCAGAGATATGACCTTTTTTTTATTTTTATTTTTTATAAATGCATGCAGGAAAGATTAACATTGGCACAAAAAATAGCAGAGGAGCACCAGCAGTACCAAAGTTGCATTGATAAGTTTCAAAGCCGGCTGATGTCTAAAACAGAAGAAGTCAGCCGTTTCAGCGACATGGAGGATACGACACAAAATAGGCTGAAAGCCCTGCAGGTACAATGACCTACTTATTTGGGGGAGGGGAGGTCAGAGTGGTCAACTGGGAAAATTTTTGGAAGTCAAACTGTGGAGAAGTCATTCCAGCAAGTTTAGCACTTGCTAATTTGCGGCCTCATTTTCACTTCACTAGTATATTAAAGGGTTCATAAAAAAAATCTGATTACTATGTCTAGTATTATGTAAACGTGATGTAACTTGCAGAACCTCAGTTAATTAAAACATGTATTGCAACTTCAGATGTAAAAATTACTCAGTCTAAAATGTTTTGTGATGTCATGATTGTTAGTAAATATTAATAATGATGAGTAAACACCAATTCGGTGTAAAGTACCTGGCAAGGTAATAAAGTAGGATAAATACCTTATATTAATACTTATATACTAACATAATACTATATATATATTGTACTGCAATATACTCCAGTTTGTGTTTAATACCGCAACCCTCTACAATGCGAGTAAATCACTCGCATATGCGACTAAATGTCCATGCTAGGCGACAAAGTAATGTCTATCGTTAGCCATTGGCTAATAAATTGTTAGATTTCATTCACCAGTTTTTGAGGTAGAGGCTACCTATAAGTTTAACACTTGCCTTCACTCATTTTGAACACTGCACCCTTGAGAGTTTCACTTTCTATCTTTAAAGCTCAATATTTAAATTCTTCTCAATGGATGCGCAGTGTGTTTGACGCATCATAAACTCTAGTGTGAAGGCACACGACTATCTGTTGCTTAGCTGAGAGCGCTCAGTGTTTCTCTCATACATGCAAAGAGAGGGACAGCAAAACAGTCTTACTTACCACATAGAATTGATGCGCTACAGGTGAATTATATTCTTTGTTGTATTTTCTGTCAAAACAGAACAGTTCATTTGGAATGGACTACTTGCACAACTACTTTCACGTTCTACTTAGTACAGCTCGGGAGTTTCCGGTCAGCGTTTAGCGCACTTACATACAGACAGTTTCTCATGAGAAAGCAGATTATTACTAAGTTTTAGGACTGGCAATTTTTTTAAAACAATGAATATATTCTCTGCGTTAACATGAATTATCTTCAACCTGCTGAAATGTTCCTATAAATATAGTTCCCTTCCAAATGTGCCTTTTGAATAATAAATACATTTCCCCACTAACCTGCCTAGTCCAGCGCTTGTCTTCTCATTAACAATATTTTTCTCTTACTGATCATATTTCATACCTGTTGAATTTACAGTTTTAAATGAATTTGACTGATAAACACACTTACGAAACCATGGTTTTACTATAGTAAAAGTGTAGTAACCTTTTTTTTTTTGTGGATTACCATTTGTATAACCACAATTTTACTACAAATACCATGGTTAAACTATGGTTAGTGTGGTAAAACCCGGGTTAATTTGTGGTTACTATGGTTTAATTACAATTGCAAATTTTATTTGTAGTAAAACAATGGCTAATTTTCATAAGAGCAGTATTGCTTTTGTGCGTTGGTGCTCTTATTCCAATGGCTGAATGAATGTGCGGTAACATTTAATTAATTTTAAACAGTAACGCATTGACAGTGCGACTACTTTGACTATTCATATTTTGGCATTACATACAGTGAAATGATTGTGAATTAAAAATGACACAGAATAGTGACTAACATATATACAGATAAATAAAGGTTCGTTCTGATTGTATTCATCCGATCTTACACACACTGCAGCGTAGCTATTAGTAGGGTTGGGCGATATGGGCAAAAATTAATATCTCTGTATTTTTTTAGCCGATTTGCGATATACGGTATATATCTCTGTATTTTCGATTTGTATTTTTTTATTTTAAAAAATCTTCTCCAATGATCAAGATATGGACATGTCTACAAGTGAACATGACTACATTTCAGAGTCCAAACCAAACATGCCAAGTATATGTACATGTATGTATATATATATATATATATAAATATATGTATATATCACTTACCGTGCAATGTTGTCCAACAAAACAATACATATTAAAGGCTATGAACACGCTTCTTGAAAGTACTTGAATTTCAGACATATGGATTCAAGGCCTGGAAAATACATTCTTATTGTCTTATTGTATATATTGCATCAACGAAAAGTTCCAAATATAGTAACAGCTGAGCCGCTGCGCATCTCTAAAAGCAAACACAGTCGAGTTTCATTCATGAATGAAAGTGCGTTTTTGAACGAATCTAGTGAGTCGG